CATTCGGTATATAAAGACAGGTCTATATCATCCATCATCCAATGTTCCGTGGAAAGAGCAGTCCAAACTTTGAAGGCATGCTTAAATAAACAGCTTAACCCCTTCACTCGATACTAAACTGTCCCAGTTCATATTTGATTACCAGACCACCCCTCATGCAACTACAGGTAAAGCTCCAACAGAGTTGCTAATGGGGTGAAGACTTCTCACCAGCTTAAATCTGCTCTTCCATGGCCTGGGGCCACAGGTGAAACAGCATCAGGCGCACCAATGCCAGACACAAGACTCCACTAAGCCAGAGAGACAGGTTATTTCAGGGGACAAAGTTTGGTGCTAAAACCTCAGAAACGGTGCTGCATGGGTAAGAGGCATAGTCAACATGAGGTCAAGTCCTGGGACGCACAAAGTTTGGGTAGGTAAGGCAATCCTGAACAAGCATGTGGACCACATAAAAACTGCAAACTTGTAAACAGGGCAGAAGCAAAACATAAAAGGCCTCTCAGAACAGTGGAAACATTATCAGAACCCATGGTTCCCCCACTCCATCTAGCACTGAAGAAACTCCAGAGTTTGAGATGGATATGGCAGATGTTACAATCTCGACCCCTACCGCCTGAAAAAGTTGATCAATTTCTTCTGAGATGCTCTGGGCATAAGAGGCAGGCTATCATCCAGTATACTCTGCCTGTATCTGAGGCTGAGTTGGAGGAACTGGACCCAGTGCAAAAATGCCTCAGGAGAGGCTACAAGAAAAAGAACAGCCGATGTCTCTGGACTTAGAAGGGTGGGCATGTAGTGATGAGGTCAGCCAGGTGGACCTTGTAGGATATGAGTTCCCTGACTGGATCAGGCCCAATCAGGGAGTCCTGACTGACAGATAAGAACAGGAGTGTCAGAGGTTCTGTTCACCCTGTGAGCTGGCTCTAAAGACATCAGACCAGTGTCAATTATTAACATGTGTAAATAAAGGGTGACTTGGTGATGGGATACTAGCCTCTGTGGAGTTATTCCAACATGTATCACTGAAGGGTAAGAGAACAGATTTATACAGATTGATCCATTGGTGTAATCACCCTCTGCCATCTAAATTAAATGATTAGTATTCACCTTTGAGACAACAGCATGCTAAAAACTGTAGCTTATTGTGAATGTCACGTTTGAATGTGATCCTGACTTCACTAAACAACCAGAGAGACCTCCAGCAGATTAGAGGAAAGGAAGAAATATTTAAATCAGAATGTGGAGGTACTGGTGTTGGACTAGGGTGGACAATGTCAGAAGTCACTCAACACCAGTTTACAGTCGAACAGGTTTATTTGAAATCACAAGCTTTCGGACCACTCCTGACGAAGCCGTAGCACTCTGAAAGCTTGTGATTTTAAATAAACTCGTGTTGTGTGACTTCTGATATTTAAATCATGCCTTTCACTACCTTAGAACATCCTAAAAGTTGTTCCAATCATTTCAGTCATTTTTTTTGAAATGTAGACACTGTTGAAAGGTGAGAAAACTTGGATGATTTTCTCATTACTTTTAGTGGTGGGGAAGGGGGTTTTCATTGTTGCTTTGACAGAGATGAGCTAACTCAACAAAGAAGGGGAACAAACTTTGGGTTACAAACTATGTAGATTCAGAGGCAGAAATGTTGCCATTGAAATAGGAGTACCATGCATTCTTTAGGATAATCTGTACATGACAGTGTATGAAATACTGTGTGGAATATTGTTGTAGCAGCAAACGGTTCCGTGGCAGGAAATAAACAGGATTTCAGTTCAGAGGTGTGACACCTGGCCGTACACAATCTGGTGGAGAGTCAATTAGCCATACAGAGTTGAGGGGTCTGGCCAAATGAAAGATGCCAAATTTAATCGGCACCTAGTAAGAAAAAGCAGTGTCATTCTGACTATCTCAGCTGCATGTTTGTCTTGAATTGAAGCCTCTCCCTCCCTAAGAGCTGCTGACACATTGTTCAAATGTGTGCATGTGTCAGCACTGAGAATGATTGGCCTTATGGTTTAGGAGTGCCTCACTGCAGGCTTTTTCTCCAAATTGTAGCCCTCTCATACGAGCCTGGACATACCTGAAATTTAATTCTGAAATTGGATCCAATTCCACAAAAGGCCCAATGACTTCCTGTCCCTCATGAGGGTAAGTGGCATAGTGTAGTCATTGCAAAGTAGCAATAGCATCAAGAGCCATAAATGCGCAAGAGATATATCAGTATATCTAAGCCTCAGTGACAGATCATACATGAGGTTTGTATATGAGTGAGCTACTTCAGGCTATGAAGCTTGTACCAGTTGTAGAGTGTATATGTACAATACATTTAAAACAGGGGTATCTGATATTAGTTGACATAAGCCTGCATACTTTTAAAGGATTTTTCTGTCAATTGCTGTCCATCTGTGTGCCTGCAAAAGAAAAGCATTTTCTTTCAGTGATCAGAGGCTGTTGTTGTGACCCAGAGCTTTTTATATTGACCCCTGCACAGGAAGAGACAATCAACGTGGCAGGGCAGATGCTCAATTCCTGATGACAAGGCAAGGGTGACAACAGAACACAGATAGAATATCTGCAAGCTGGTATTCTGGGCACATGGGAGATATGACACTGAATTGGGAAACAGGATTATGCTTACCCTCTAACTAATTCTTTGTGTTTTGCACTACAGGTTCTTGCATTCAGGAGCCACGTCAAGCTCAGTTTTCTGCAAGCTAGAATTCTTGCTCAGAAGGTGATGACATGAAACATTCAGACGAAGTATTGGCATACCATTCCCTCTTCTCCTGCACCAGTGTAGAGACAGTTCCATCAGTAGGAATGAATTCTTGATCATACTCAGGGTCACAATCTGGTGAGTATATCACAGACATGCAACAGCTGATGGCGGATGTGACAGCCATGGTTCATGATCAACATCTGGCAAAGATTCCAAGGCTTTGAAAACCATATAGTGGAGTAGTTCATGCAACCCACCAGTTCTGCCATGGCTCCAGCATGTGAGTATCTAGATTTCTGTTTGGAGAGGCTAGCGATTGCTATGGAGATCAAGGTCAGCATAAAAGCAGAACACCTGCCAGGCAGATGCTTGGACCCGCATTTCAGTGCTCTGGCCATGGGCTCTATAATCCACTGTACATTAGCTAGGTAAGAGGGGATGAGGCACCTCAGTCTCCACATGCCCCTTCCTGTCCTGGACCCTGAAAGGTTCTATCATGAAGGAACAGCCCTGACAATCTACCTGAAGCATGTCATCTCAGGGCTATCCAAGAGTCTGCTGGTCCGCCTCCTTCTCCATTCTGCCAGTGACACCAATGCTTCCAGTAGGTGAGGCTGGCAACCCTACTATCTGTGACCCTTGAGCCACTCATCTTCAACCTTGATAAAGTGTGCATTAACCTTGAGCTGTCCCCTGACATCATATACCTGACAACTGTTACCTACCTCTGCCCATGTGATCTGCCCTAGTTACTCATGACTCTCCCAACCTCACCATTGACCTGCCCCAATTACCCTTGCTCTCACTTCTCTGAATTGTTTTCAATTCAATTGCCAACTGAGCTCAATTAATCTGTTAATTTTCCTCTCCCATATTTCAACATAAGTTACATGCAAGAAAATTAGCTTCTATTCGCTCCAAATTCTGCGGGAAGACTGTGTCACTTGCTTTGTGCCACTAAACATAGATGTAAAGGCACGTTCTGACTTAATCACAAAGGTACAATCTAGTCTGGTGATCCTGTGTTTTAAGAGTATGCATGACAGGTTAATACATCAGATATAAGTTTCTGCCACTTGCCATTGGAACCATGATCCACCTCTACTCTGCCAAATTACTTTTCAGCTTTCATTCCACCATCAGGAAGCTGACACTTCACCTCCTGCACAATTAAGTGCCCCACAAATATCATTTCCTGCTCCATAGAATCAGTTCATTTCACCCTCTGTCTCCTGGGATTATTGCAGTACAATCAAAATATATTGATTTATGTACAGCTTTTACCCATCAATATATTAACATCAAATTTGCACAGACTTGGATATACTGAGTATTTTCCAATAAGGTAACATTGTAAATAATCCTACCCAAGAATCATGTAATTGCACATAATTTTCACAAAATAAACTTCATTTTGGTGCATCATGCTTTGATACCATTTCACTGCCAAATGGTGTAAGTCTTTTCTTCTATTGGCCTAGTGTAAGTGTTCTTAAGCCTGGTTTGTTCCAGCAGTGGTAGATTTGTGTCTTAGAAAATAGCTCCTTATGAGAAATATTGGCTAATTATGGTATTTCTTTCCACGCATTGTCATGCATTACATCTACAGCAATATTACAATACTGGCAACCGAATTGCACAACTTACTGACAAAGAGAATATGTTTGTCACACAAAACTTGTAAAACATGTTGGAACAATCTACAAATGCTGCTTTGTCTGTAATAGTAATGAATTCGGCAAAAGAAAAACATGTTATTTATAAAATGAAATGCTTCCTCAATAAAATGCTTTAGATTTCCTTCTAACATAGACTACTGTCTGCTCAAAAAGCTAATGCTATTTATATCCTCTACTGCTGGAGGCACATGGGGAATAGCATGAATTACCTTCTCCTTTATTTCCTTCCTCTGACAACTTTGATGAAATAAATATGTCTGTAAACAGCTTTTATGTGATACTAATCACTTTGAAAATAAAATACCTGTAAATATCATTTAACTAAGATTACTGGAGGGAAACTAGGCTTGGGCAGTAGAATGCCACCTTGCCCAAGACTTCCTTATTCCAAAAGCAAATAAAGAGTTAAAAGTTGTATATAATGTAATTTCTGCATTCTAGGTTTTCTTTCATGCAGTTGCGAACATAGGAAGGATGGTTTTACTCACAATAGAATATAAACCAAAAATAAAGTTAGAATGAATCACTTACTGAAAAGGTCTAAAATTTTGAAAATTTCATAGTCCTTAAACCAATAATTTGTAAATGTGATTTTTCTCCAATGAATCATCCTTACTAATATTTGGTTGCTGAGGCCACATGGAACAGTTGCTGTTTATTCTGCAGAAGCAAGATTTTGGAATCATTTCATCTCAAGCAATTTGTGTTGCTTGTTTCAGAGAACTCTTGGAAATTTCCGTCTGCACGGTTGACATGGCAATAGCCTCATAGTCCTCTTCTCTAGAGCTGCATTTGCAGTAATGGAGAATTGAACGCAAGTCCCTCTGAAAATTTTTATTGAGGAATCCATAGAAGATGGGGTTTGTGCAGGTTGATAGCATGGCTGTCAGATGACATACGGAGAAAACTAGATTGTGATGGCAATTATTGATAGCCTCATAGTTCCAATCAAAAACAGCATTGAAGATATTGAGGGGCAGCCAGCAGACTGCAAATGCTACCACAATGGAAATAAGCATAATGTTGATTCTCCTGTATTCATCTGCCCTGTATTTGTTCTCTCTCATCTTCTCCATCATGTTGTTTCTCCTCCTTAGGCGCACATATATCTTTTGAATAAAAGAAAATTGAGTTTATAGTTAATCATTCAGTTCACACTCATTTATTGCAGCCAGCATTCTCTCCTAGAGATTGGCTATGACTCTGTAATAACTTATAGTCATGAAATGACTCCCTGGTCAGCTGGCAAATGGACTATAAACTAAGCCATAAAGATTGGTATGGCCACGCCATACCACTCTCTGCTTGAGTTAACACAGTGGCAGCAGGAGTGCTACAATGCGCAACAACTGAGTTTCTGCACTCTGGGCTTATGGAAGGAAACATCATTCGGGTTGTCCCACTCCTGATTCCATTTCAGTAAATTCAATTAACTATCCCTGTGTACTTTTGAATACAATTTATATTTTAAAATACATAGGGCAGCAAATGTGAAATGCTTCTGAGACAGTGTAGTAATCTGATCAAGCTGTTTAATTTGTATAGTAAACAGATACAATTCAAATTATTTTTAACTGTCACCAACTTACTGAGAGTCTTTGGTCAGATGAAGTCAGAATCTGAATCTGTTGTGATGGCCTTGTGTTTCAACAGTCAAGGTGGAGTCAGTATTTATGCTAACAAATGAAGAATGGCTAAGGGGAAGGTGTCAAAGGACACCTAATGCTAATAGAGACATATCTGCCAAGGAGATAAAGCAATGCAGGAAATGTACAGGAGATGAAATAACAGAGAGTAAAAAAAGACAAGAACTTGTCATCATAATTGTACTTTTTTCAGGCAATGAAATTATAAAATGAACAATCATTAAATAGCAACCATCAAATGTTTAATATGCTTCTATAAAAAATGCATCTTTATTTTTAGCTGAGGTGTTAGCAATGATTTAAAAGAAATGGGTTATATAAAAGTCTTTGTCTAATATCTGTGTGGTCATCAACTTCTAACAATGAAACAGATCATAGACATCAAGCGTAAAATAAATCCTTGACAGGGTAAAACCGGATCAAGAAATTTACAATATCTATGTCCCAACAAGTGTAATATTGGACATTTAGGCCAAGCCTAACAATACAACCAGTCAGAGTACAATACAAAACACTGCTGTTCTTCAACCAAATCATATCTCAGATCTCTAACCAATCAGATCACAACAAATCACATCCGAGAGGTAAGACTCGAGTAAATTATTGAACAACACCCTGGGCAATCATTTTTTTAAAAATACTATTTATAAGTGCCTTGGAAAATTTCAAGCCTGCAATCCAGAATCTGGTGACAGTTAAAAACAACTTAAATTGAGTATGTTTACTACATAAATTAAACAGCTTGATCAGATTACTACACTACCTTAGAAGCATCTCACATTTGCTGCCCCATGTATTTTAAAATATAAATTGTATTCAAAACTACACAGGGATAGTCAGTCGAACGTATTGCTTTCTCTCAGTTCTCTCATTTTATGCTGAGGGACATTAGAAGTGGGTAATGACATTTATCTTATTTCAAAAACTTCGTCAGCATTAGATAGGCAGGTACACCAAGAGTTGGTCACAAAACGTAATGCAAGTACAATTTCTAAACAAACTTTGAAGACGGTTATAGTACTTGACTGTTGAAGTTGAAATTAGTTTCAGGATTGTGTTATCTCACAGCGACGCCTAGTCCCCTTTTGCTTTCGTAGCTAGTACTTTGTATGTTTCCTTCTTTGTTCCTCATTAGTCTCAATTTTGCTCTTCTCCTCCCTCTTCAATGCCACTAACCTGGAGAACAATAACCAATTGTCAAGTGATTCAGTGGTTTGGAAGCATTCTATTACCTCAACAGTCAGCTCTCAATTACTTTGCTGTACCCCAAAATCTCCCATATAATTCACTACCATAAATTTAAGTGTACTTAACGATGCAGTTTTCACATTGGGTTTTAGAAAATATGATCCCTTGTTTGTTCTACTCAAAATATCCTGTTTTCCTTACTTAAAGCCTGCTGTAAGTTTCTGAGAGACAGAGACCCAGATTATTGTTGGGACAGGGAGCTTTTTTTTATCATGGTGAAAAAGGTGGAAGTGACCAAAATCACAATGGATGTGGCAGTCATGGGGATGGGCTCAATGACACAGGTTGGAATGGTGGGTTTGGGGGAAAATGTGGGTGTGTAGATTGTGAGGCAGTTAAGGGTGAGGTCTAGAGGAATGGCTTGTTTATTAATCTTTAACTTTAGACTTTGGGCACATTACTAGAACCCCAAGGAAGGTTTTCTGTCCATCCCAGCTATGCACCAGACGTTCTCCATGGGTCTCCATGGGTCACCCACCCTGACTTCCAATCTAACAGCATCCCCCATTCCCCTCACGAAAATAAACAAGCACAGGACTTTTAAAGTATGAATCCACAGGGTCTGTAATTCTCCCATCTCTGTATATTCAACACAAGAATGAAAATTGGGGCTACAGTTTTTCAATCATCAAACAATATAGAATTTTGCTTCATAACTGTAAAGGAAAGAGGTGATAGATGTGAATAACACATGCTAAAGCTGAAAAAGAAATCAAAGCTGTAGCTCTATAATTGCTTCCAATTTCAATCAGTACAACACATGAAGATATATAGTGTGGAATTGAACTGCAGTCTGACAGAAATAGTTTATTTAATAATTTGTTACACAGCGAGGTGGTCATTTTGTTCTTTCTGATTTCATAATACTTGAAGAATTGAAAATTGGGAGATAACTCACATCTGCAATGAAGAACAATGATATTGCTACTGTTTATAGTCTAACTTCCTTAATGTTTATATTTATTCCAATAAACCATTGCTCTTCATTGAAAGCCTTACACTTCATCTGAATAATAGTGAGAGGTGAAAATGGAGTGAAAAATAACCATGCTCATTGTTTATAAAATGTCTTGGAAAATAATGAAATGCATAATTTAAAACTGGCTAGTATTTGATGCATTCCATATTAGCTACTTTATCTATTTAGTCATAGATGTCTACAGCACATAAAAAATGACCCTTCAGTCCATCATGTACATGCCAGTCAAAACAACTACCTAACTATTCTAATTCCATTTTCCAGAACTTGGCCCATAGCAATGTTTGCCTTGTCATCAGAAATGCACATCAAAATTTTTTTAGATATTATGAGGTTTTGTACCTCGAATACCCTAGCAGGCAGTGAATTGCAGATTCCCACCACTTTTTGGTTCAAACGTTTTTCTTCACATCTCCTATAAACCTTTTGCCCCTTACCTTAAATCTATGACCCCAGTTATTGATCCCTTCATCAAGGGGAAAAGTCTCTTCCTAGATAAGTTCTCCTTTGCCTCTCATAACTTTATACATCTCAATCATATACCCTCTCAATCTTCTCTGCTATAAGGAAAATGACACCAATCTGTCCAATCTCTTTTCATAACTGAAACTCTCCAGCCCAGGCAATATCCTGGCAAATGTCCTCTCACCCTCTCCAGTGCTATCACATCCCTCCAATAACATGGATTCCAGAACTGCACACACTGCTGTGGCTGTGGCCCAACTAATCTTATATACAGTTCCAGCATAACCTCCCTGACCTTAAACTCTATGCTTCGGCTAATAAAGGCATTTACACCTTTTGCCTTCATAACCACTTTATCTACCTGTTCTGACATCTTCAGGGACCAGTGGACATGCACACCAACATTCCCCTGATCCTCGGTGCTTCCCAGGATCCTACCATTCATCATATATTCCCTTGCCTTGTTTGTCCTGTCCAAGTGCACCACCTCGTATTTATCCAAATTGCATTCCATTTGCCACTAATCATCTGACTGGGCTGTCAATATCCTCCTGTAACCAAGGCTATCCTCCTCATTATTTACCATCCTACCAATTTTTTGTATCATACCCGAATCATGCACCATTTGTCTGCTGGTAGGATTATAATGTTCTTGTCTTTGTTGAGTTTATCTAGTGCTTTTCTGGGTGATTCTATTACCTAGCTACGGTGTTGAAGAGACTGAAGGATGCAGGACAGATAACCAAGGTGGACTACATGAGAATGAAAGCAGAAGGCATGAACGCCCCCCACTTCTATGGACTTCCTAAAGTACACAAACCAGACATCCCCCTCAGACCCATTGTTTCTCCATCAGGTACACCTTCACAAAAACTGGCCATGGACCTACAACAGAGATTGAAACACCTAGTGGACAGATCACCCCATTCCATCAACTCAACCCAAGAATTCCTCAATACCCTCAAGAACATAAAAATGAGCTATGACAAGATTATGGTATCCTTTGACATCACAGCTTTATTCGCATCAATCAACATCCCACTGGCCAAAGAAACAGTGGCCACATTACTGGAGGAAGCAGTAACGTAGACCAGCAGCTCCATCAGCAATGACAACATTCTTAAACTACTAGACCTGTGCCTCACCACACACTTCATCTTCAATGGTCAAGTATACAAACAGATCAACGGTACACCAATGGGGTCACCCATCTCCGGACTCATTCCAGAAGCAGTCACGCAAAGACTAGAATGCAGCACCCTCCCTTGAATTCAACCTAAACTGGGATCAGGTACATGGACAACACATTTGTCATTATTAAACGTAACAAATTAGAAGAGACCCACCACCTTATCAACAACGTGTTTGCAAGGGAAGAAGAAAATAACAATCAACTTTCGTTTCTGGATGTTAGAGTTGAGCATATGACCAATGGGGAGTTCCAAACCTCAGCATACAGAAAAGCAACCCAACCCACACTGATCAAATCCTCAACTTCTACAGCAACCACCCCAACGTCCACAAGCAAAGCTGCATTAGGACACTTTTTAACTGGCCATGACACACTACAACACTCTGGAACTATGCAGGGAAGAGGAAGAGCACGTATACAAAATGTCTGCAATGAATGGACATCCCCGCAACTTCATCCACAGGTTCCTACTAAACAGATTACAATAGGAGGTCACAGTACACCCTAACAAACTGGCCACACTGCCCTACATCAAGAATATATCAAAACTTACAACAAGACTCCTAAGACCACTAGGAA